CCATTTCTGCTAATTACCCTTTTGTATGGTTGAATACTAAAAGTTGGATACATTCTTTAAAAAAAAAAAGTAATTGTTGGAAAAATATGGCTAATGGGGCGATTTTGACATAATTTTGAGTGGGACCCATTCGTTCATTTTGGAAGATCGAAGTTCATTCATGTTCTCCACTATGAAAAAATCGAAATCATATATTTATTTGCCAAAAATCATAATCGGGTGAATAAGAAATTGAAATTCAAAGTTGATGACTTGAAAAGAGTTTACAAAAGCAGTTTCATACATATGAAACAGGAAAGTTTAAATGTTTTATATGTATGAAATATGGTGCTTGGATGGAAAACTATATGTAGTTTGTCTAACGTAGGGAGATTATAAAAGTAATGACCACTTTATATGATTACCCTTTGGAAGCGCGTGCGGGAGGGTGCAAATTTCGGACCGAAGTGCACATTGGACCTTAAACTTCTGTGTGGTGCAACCTGCACACACAACTGACCTTTGATGTTATAAAACTATTGAAACTCCTGATTTATGTTTATGTTAATGGAGAGATTAACAATCGAATTAAATGCGTCTTTTTCCTCCATTACACACGAAATTTTCCCAGATTCTCAGAATACAAAACTTCCGAATTCTGTTTTCCTGATTCTCTGTTTTCAGTTTTTGTCAAAAGTCTTGGTGGCAGTGTTTTGATATACATTCAATTCGCCGGAGTAGTTTCTACTGTGCACAGATCCTACTGGTTTAAGGAAACTGTTTTAAGGAGAGGGAGTGAATCTGTTTAAAAAAAACTGTGTTTACACATGCCTCGATTTAAAAGTTTCTTCCCTTTTGTAATTCTAGACAGTTTATATTTCGGCTTCTAATTACCTGTTATTTTCTTGTCAGTATAAATAAAATATTATTTCTGCAATTGATAACAGTAATACTGGAGAGCAATACATATAACATAGTTTAGAATTTTTCCTATATATCGAGCTGATTGTAAATCCTGCAGATTAAACCCTGCAAAAGCGGTAGAATTAATCATCAGTATGTTTTCAAGTGGAAGGAGAAGACGAAAACAAGAAAAGAAGGATCAACAGG